TATCTTCTCCTAGATCATTTAATGTTATCGCGGTCATTGCATTAGCATATGGATCACTTAATGGTGGTTTATATCTTTTGATTAGTATCTTATCAGTCCCTGAAGAATACAGTTACACAAAACTAATCAACCAGGCCAAAGGCATGTTGCTACAATTATAATTATGTACCTAATAATATTTATTAAAATCTTATTTATTATTACGAATTTCCAAATTTCACAATTAATATATCACTCAAATTCGGCATCAAACCGTAATACTAAACATGTCATAGAAAAGACGTATTAATCGTCGCTGCACAGAAAAGGAGCGCCAGATATTAATACGGCTAATTCTTTTGAGATGGAAGTATCAACAGCCATCAGCTAAATCTTGATGAGGCATTGATGAGAAATTAAATTAGTGGAATATTCGCATCAATACAAAACCCATATTCTTATTTCAAAGGAAATAAAATAAACCAAAAGAAATAAACTTAAAAAACCCAAAATTAAATTGATAAAAAGTCATCAATATTTACTAAATCACTAAATTCGATATTGTTCAAAGGATCATGGTGATCACTTTGTTTGATTAACAACGAATCGAATGAACTATCAAAATGTTCAATATTACTTTGATAATTTTGGCCATTACCAACATCCAATTCATCGTCAGAATTTGGATTTGATTCTATAAAAGTAGGTACGATTGGTGCTGCAGACCAAAAAAGAGTTACGCGGAATCATCAATAAACACATTCAATTGAAATAAGAATGTTACTTCAATGCTGTGAATTTTATGTAACAGGCAAGGGAAGTGGAGATTCCACGTATATTAATTTAATTTAAGCTACCACCTGGTAGATGAAACTAAATTAATATACAGCTCCGGTTAATTCCTCACCTCTGTGTTATATAAAACAAGCAGAGAACAATCAACATTTCAAGAATTTTTCATTGATCATCATAACTCTTTGGCAACAAAATCTCTTCTGAATTTTGCCCCAAAGGATCGTACACTTTTAAAGAATCAATCTCATTGTCGTCATTGGATAATGATAATGGTGGTAAGTTATCACTCGATTTCTTCAATGTCAAATCAATAGGAGAATTGATTGGCGAATTGATGGAAATCGGAGACAAATAGTTATAGTAAACATTTTCGTTTGTTATTGATAGCAATTCGTTAGAATCACCGTTGGGTTCCATCTTAATGTGTGGTATCTGATTCACCTTGTCGGACGACACTTGTTCGTATTCGACCGGTTCGGTCAGGTCGGTAGTTAACGAACTACAGCTATTGGTAGAAGAAAGTTTTCTCTTCTTAGAATCTGGCTGCTCGGTTGGTGGAGTCGATTCCTCGTCAAGATTGTCGTCTCCCCCCTCGTTGGCCAAAAGCGACCCGTTGAGGTTACTATGGATCTTGTCTTTCAATTCTTGCAAATCGTCCATCTCCTTCATGTCTATCTTAGCAAGCTGTTTCGACGAAATTTGTCCACATACATTATCGAAATTGCTCTGCAACTTAGATAAGTTGTCTTCTAACTTCAACACGTAGCTCTCCAAGTATTCAACATGCTTTCTCTTCTTTTCTCGCGAAGCATGGGCCGCTCTTCTATTCCTGAGAATACGCTCCACTCGACGCTGTTCCTTCTCTTCTTTGGTCTTAGCCCTTTTTCTTGGTGGGAGCGACGATTTGAAATTCGCCGATTCCAAATTATCAACAATATCGGCCATATTTCTATTATTATCTGTCTTAGCTTCTAATCTAATTTAAGAATAACTAGCTTCTATTACCAAAATAATAATCAAATAACTTTTGAAAAATATTTAACAAAATCTTGCAATTTATTCACTAACGATATATACGGAATATGATCCTCTTTTATATTTAATGTATGTTGACACTTGAAACAGGATTAATTAATTATAGATATGGTCGTGTATGATCCGCCAATATTCAACGCAGTGGCAAAGAAATGGGATGCGCAATTTATGATACATAACATATGAAAGAATAAGAGAAATCCCGAAACATTACACAAAGTGTAGCAATTCCAGACCAATTTCATAGAACAAAACGAGGAGCAGTACGTAACGACCGCACGATAGCGGAATTTGTCGCGTTTTATTTTTTAGTCGAAGACTCACAGAAGGAATAATGACGTAATTAGTGTGGAATCGATAGCGACACTGCCCTTTTGTTAAGCCACGTGAGACTAGGAGTGGGAAGTAAGTTATGGGTGTACTGATGTGGGGTTGAGCCTACTATGCGAATATAGACGAAAGGGGAATGGAAAAAATAGATTAGCTATTTAGCGCGCAGGCTATTTTTAGGACAAAGGCACGCAGATAGCAAGACGATAGGATAGACGTAACTTATGAGAGTCCCAGACGAGAATACAATAGTGAGCGTAGAAGAAAACTGGGAAAGGAAATTAGAAGAGAGGTTGTTTGGTAAGGTGTGTAGCATACTGGAAAAGAAACAGATGCGGCTTAACCGAGCGTTTTCGGATTAGTATCAAGGACGATGAGTTGATATAGCCCGTATTACGAGCGCATTGATGACCATGACCAAAGAATATGATTTCGCAGCATTTGATGCTTTTTGTCTAAGATGTCGCAGGAAGTAAATAGGAGGGCAGTAGTGCAAGCAAACTTGAGGCTGGTGGAGGCGTGGAATTAGGTGGCCATGAAATCTCGTGTGAACGGTAGATTTGCATATGGCATCCATCTAAACAGGAACGATGAGCGGCACTGTACTGAACAAAAACGAAGCTGTACTTCATGTGATCAACTGGTAGGGAGATCAAACAAAAACATCTATCATTTGATCGAGGAACAATATTTACACACGTGATGTGTCCAATGAAAAATTTAAGCATCAAGAGTCATAGTTGAATATAGAGAATTATAGACCATAATGAAGTCGGTGTTATCGATACAGTCACACGTATCACACGGATATGTGGGCGGGAGAGCGGCTATTTTTCCCTTACAATGTCAGGGCTGGGAGGTCGATAGTATCAACACAGTGAACTTTTCGAATCATACTGGATATGGTTCAGTAAGAGGGTCAAGTATTAATGAAGGTGATTTGGTCGATATTTTTAAAGGCTTGAATGATATTCAAGTCTCATACGATGCGGTAATCACAGGATATATTCCAAATGCATCGTTAATCGCAGTAATAAATGAAAATATCAAGTCCTTAAAATTGAACAATAATAATCTAATGTACCTATTGGATCCAGTTATGGGGGACCAAGGATTTTTATATGTTGACGAATCATGTATTGATGAATACAAGAAGATATTAGAGGATCGTATAGTAGATATTATAACTCCAAATCAATTTGAATTGGAGTTGTTAGTAGGTTTTAAAGTTAAAACTGAAAGCGATTTAAAAGATGCAATCAACCATTTACATTCAAAATTCAACATTAAGTATGTGGTAATATCGAGCTTGACAGATATTAAGAAGAGCTCCGAGGATTTGATATATTGTGCTATCTCTACCATAGATGACAACAAAATACAAATATTCAGTATTCCTGTCATAAATTCATATTTCACAGGAGTCGGTGATTTATTTAGTGCATTGTTGCTAGACAAGCTTTATGAAAATTTACAATCTAATGAAGTAAAAACCCCGAATTTATCAAAAGCCGTTAGTCAAGTTCTTACCATAATGCTGAAGACTTTAAGCTTAACCCATAAATTAGGAATCGAATCATACTGCAAAGATAAGAATTTGACGACATTAAATGGGGAAATGCCTGTAAGCAAGGTCAATGATGATGTAATGAAATATTTTGAATTGAGAATTATTCAATCCAAGGATTTCTTTGCTTATGATGGAATAGGTGAGTTTAAACCTGAGTACTTATAATTCGTATATAGATGATAGAAATTTTGCATAGAATAATGCACTTCTCTGTGATATATTAAAAGTATGCAGTAATTCATTTTGTATGTAATTATAGTGGCCAAGCCATGTCGAATATCGTACATTTCCCTGGACAAAGAATTGTTGCACTTTATGATAACGGTGAGCATCGCATCCATGAACACATCAGCAATATCATCATTAATATCTTTTTTTTTTTTTT